ATTTATCATTTTTTTTAACTTTTCTTCACTTGCTTCCTATAGCCCTTTATCGCTCTTTTTTCTATCCACATGAGTTTGGCTCATCCCTCTCCCACAAAACTGCCCTTGGCAGGGTTCTTAATCACCAGTGGTTTTCTTTTGCCAACTTAATTTTTTTAACATCTAATTAGTTTTATTTTTTATGTGAATGTTTTGCCTGCATATAGTGTGTGTATTATATGCATGCCCTGGGTCAACAGAGGCCAGAAGAGGATGTCAGAAACTCTGGAATCGTAGTTACAGATGGTTTTGAAGCTCTATATGGTTTCTGAGACTCAAACCCAGGTCCTCTAAAAGAGCCATAAATGTTCTTAAGGACTGAGCTATCTCTCTGGTCTTGTTATTCTGTTAATTTTAATTATTATTTGTGTATGTGTGAGCTGTGTGCTGTGTGTATGTGAATGTGTGTGATGTGTGTGGTGTGTGTGAGTGTGTATGTGGTGTGCATATGTGGGTACATGCCATCGCATTGTGTGGAGGTCAGAGGACAGCTTTCAGGAGTCAGCTCTCTCTTACTGTGGGATCCAGGGATTGAAATTCAGGGTCTTAGGTTTTTTTATCCTATAAGTCAGCCCTATTTTGAGACAGGGCTTCATTATGTTGTCCAGACTGCTCCTGCCTCTGCCTCCCAAGTAGCTGAGACTACAGGCACACTCTCAAGCCAGAAGTGTGTTCTTTCGTGTATAAGTGCAGGTCAGTGTTTGGATTGGCACACATGTAGAGGCTAGGTAGGGGTCAGTCTCAGGTATCATTGCTCAGGAGCTGTTCACCTTGCTTTGTGTTGTTGCTTGATACAGGATCTCTCACTGGCCAGGAGATCATCAACTAGACTAGGCTAGTCTGCCAAGAAGCCTCAGCAACCAGCTCTCTGCTGCTCACATGGGGGTGACAAACCCTTGCTGCCACACTTGGCTTTTTCATACGGGTTCTGAGTAGCCTCAAGGCTTTATCCTTGTTTGGCAAGCGCTTCACTGTCTGAACTGTTGCCCACCTCCAGACATCTGTCCTTTGCCCTCACTCCTCGGGCTCTAAAATCCCCATGCTCTTTCAGGCTCATCTTACTTCTCTATTCTTGTCTGGCTTTTTTGCAGCTTCTGCATCCTTCCTTCCCCAGTCTAGCAAAATGCTTTAAGGCATGAGAACTGCTCACTGCTCCCTCCTTTATACTCATTACCTCCACCTCCTGCAAGGCTGTGACCTGGTTTTACCTCCCAGTCCAACCCTCCAGTGCTTATCTCTCGTAGACTCCACAACCATACCCCTAGCAGCTGAGCCTGTATCTCCTCAAGGCTCACATGTCCCCAATGATCATTTCCTTTTCTCCTAGTCTTTCAGACTTTTTTTTGAAGATTTATTTTATTTAGTTTTCAAGACAAGTTGTATCAGGCTTTTTCTTTGGGGTCACCAACCAGCTCCCAAATCATGACATGGTCTTGTTATTAATTATGAATGCTTGGTCTTAGCTCCTATTTTAATGTTTCTCTTTATCTATGTTTTGCCTTGGGGCTTTTTACCTTTGTTTCTGTCTGTATATCTACTCTGTGTGCAGCTGTCTGGCAGTTGCCTGGCAACTGGCCCCAGGCATATCCCTCTCTTTTTCCCTCCTTTTCTTTTTCCAGCTTGGATTTCTTTTCTTACTTAATCTCTCTGCCACCCAGCCCATCCTATCTCTCTCCTGCCTAGCTATTGGCCATTCAGTTTTTTATTAGACCAATCAGGTGCCTTAGGCAGGCAAGATGAAACAAATGTAACACATCTTTGCTTCATTAACAAAGGCAGTGGAAACAAATGGAACGCACCTTAACACTGAGGAGCAATATTCTGCAGCATAAACATATGGAACGCATCTTTACCTAGTTAAAGTAATATTCCATAACAAATTTCTTTTTTCTTTTTTAAAAACTTATTTATTTTTAAGGCACATATGTGTGTTTTACCTGCTTGTATGTCTGTGAAGCATGTGCATGCAATGCCTGTGGAATCCAGAAGAAGGCATCAGATCCCCTGGTACTAGAGTTATGGATAGTTGTGAGCTGCCATGTGGGTGCTGGGAATTGAACCAGGGTCCTATGGAAGAGCAACCAGCACTCTTAACAACTGAGCTATCTCAAGCCCTGGCTGTCCTGAAACATTATATAGACCAACTCTACTGGATGTTTTTAAATGGCAGGTTCATCCAGACAGCTGCTCAGGATGGAAATTTGGAATCCATGCTTTATGTTCTTTCCCTACCTGCATCTATACATCAGTCAGACTAGATTTTAGCTCCAAAACATACTTTAGAACAGTGGTTCTCAACATAGTGGTCATGACCCTGTTGGATGACTCATATCATATTTATATTATGACTCATAACAGTAACAAAATTACAGTTAAGGCAGATGCCTTTAAATCCCAGCACTTGGGAGGCAGAGGCAGGCAGATCCTGGAGTTTGAGTCCAGCCTGGTCTACAGAGTGAGCTCTAGGACAGCCAGGGGTACACAGAGAAACTCTGTCTCAAAAAACAAAACAAACCAGTCAGTAGTGGCACATACCTTTAATTTCAACATTCAGGAGGCAGAGGCAGGCAGATCTCTGTGAGATCCAGACCAATCTGGTCTACAGAGTGGGTTCCAAGACAGGTTCCTAACCTACAGAGAACCCTGTCTTGAAAGGCCAAAACCACCCCCCCCAAAAAAAGGAACCACTGCTCTAGAATGACATTTCTGTTTGCTCTCTGGGCCCAGAACTAGGTTTCCATACACAGTCTTACCTGGGATAAAGGATAGAGCCTCCACACTGATTCTAGAGTCATTCTCCCAAAACAACTGTATGGGGCAGGAACCAGCACTGGTCATTCTCTGAAAAAGTCCCATGCTTCTTCTTATGGCACCAAAAATAAAACCCAGAGTTCCCTCTAAGGGTGCTGGAAGCTTGGTTTTGATGACTTTTCCCCCTTAATCCACAGAGTCCTGCCCCATCATCACACATCTGTGTCTTCCATAGTTTGGTCTGCCTAGCTCCTGTCCCTCGGTGTCCTTTACTTTGACAGACCCTTTCGTTTAAAATGTCCCTCCTCGGCAGAGGCAGGCAGATCTCTGTGAGTTCCAGACCAGCCTGGTCTACAAGAGCTAGTTCCAGGATAGCCTTCAAAGCTACAGAGAAACCCTGCCTCGAAAAGAAAACAACAACAAAAAAAGTCCCTCCTCAGGGAGGGAAAGGGACCTGGGATTGACATGTAAAATAATTTTCTTTCTAATTAAAAGAAAAAAAAAAGGAAGTGTCCCTCCTCATTGGACTTAAATGAACTGAATCCAGTTGCATATCAATGTCAGCCACGTCTCTGTTGTTTTGCTTTTTTGAGACAGATTTCTCTGTGTAACAGTCCCGACTGACCTGGAACTCACTTTGTAGACCAGGCTGACCACAGAGATCTACCTGCCTCTGCCTTCAGAGTGCTGGGATTAAAGGCGTGCACCACCACAGCCCCACTCAGCAACGTCTTTTAAAGAGTCCTATCCCTCAACTGAACTTATTGCCCTCATTGTCTTATATTTTCCTGCCTGCTGGGTAGGTCCAGGCTGTCTCGGAATCTACCTTTGTTTATGGAATGGCCTCAGGGGAGAGGCTCTAAATATTCTGGCCAAAGAGCAGTTTTTCTTTTCCATTCCTGCACCCAATTTATGAGCTGATGGTGCTGGGGTGTGGGGATGTAGGCCATGGCCCAGCGGTCCCCACTAGAGGGCGGTCCAGCCCACCTCGGCTCAGACCAGGCTAGAGGGATGCCGAAAGGGATCCTTTCCCTCCCTGCCAGCTTTAAGGCTCTACGCAGAGTAGTCAAGAGGCCGGATCTCAGTCTTATCATTTTCGGGGATTGTCAAGGCCAGCCTTGACAGACCCCGAGTGGCCACAATATCGTCAGATCACACGTGGGCGTCGCATCGGGGTCCCCAGTACTAGAGACCGCTATGTCACCAGGGAACACTGGACGAGCGCGCGGGGCGGGAGGAGGTCGGTCAGCTAGACCTCCTGAGACATCAGGGGGTCCGGAGACGCAGTCCTGTCTCCCGAGGTGCTACAGTCCCACTCCTCAGCCGTGCGGGGCTGGAGGGCGGGGCTGAAGGGGGTAGGGCATCCCCAGCCCCCCCCCCCCCCCCGAGCTCCCGAGTGCGAGGAGCCTGGGAGTAAGGCAAGGGTGAGGACGCCGCTGGCGGGCCGACCCGGCCCACTCGGCGCGGCTCTTGCGGGTGATCGCAGAGGATACCGCACCAGCACCAACATGCACAGCGCTCGCCTTGACAGCTTCCTGAGCCAGCTCCGCTGGGAACTGGTGAGGCTTTGGAGTGGGTGTGGTTGTGAGGATGTGTGTTGTGTGTGTGCGTGGCTGCCGCCTGGCTGGGACAGCAAACGGGTACGGAGTGGGCTCCGGGTGCCCATCCGAGTCAGGATGGGGGCAGGGCAGCGCGGTGCAGATGGCCCAGATGGCCCGCTTCGGGTTTCTGACGTTGGGAGCTGTTCTGGGCATCAGGTAACAGGCGCCCAGCTGGCCCTGCCGCCGGCGGCGGCGGCGGGAGAGAATGGTCTGGGAGAGAGGTTTCTGGGAGAGAGGACTGGCAGGGAGCACCAACGGCCTAAAGAAGTGCTGCGCTGCTGTGGACATCCCCTACCATAGGCTGGCCTATACCTCCTTCCTCTGCCCTGCCTGCCTGCCTGCCTGCCTGCCGGCCTGCCCGCCCTGGTGGCGCGTGCTGACTTGCCCGGCCCTGCGTGCTGCAGCCTGCAGGACTGCCACCAGCTCTGCGGATGGGAGCCACAGGAGCCTCGAGTGCCAGTGCCCCATGTGGGCCCTATGCTTACAGTTCGGCCTTGCTGCCCAGAGGCTTTTTAAGTCCTTTAGAACTCTCTGTATAGGGCTGGCCTGGTCAGACACTAAGGGGTGATAAGCAGTCCCTCTCCGACTTCTGCTCTCTCTTTCCTTCAGCTGTGTGGTCGGGACACAGGCTCGCCTCCAATGTCTGGCCCACTGCAACCCAAACCCAAAAGTGATCCAAGTGTACAGCCCAACCGCCAGTTCAGGGCTTCAGATGCTCTGGAAGAGGATTCTGTCTGCTGTGTGGAAGAGGAGGAGGAAGAGGAAGCCTTGGTAGCTGAAGACAAGGGTGTATCTTTGAGACATCCTAGGGAGCATGCCCTAGACTGGGACTCTGGCTTTTCAGAGGTGTCAGGCAGTACATGGCGAGAGGAGGAACTGTCTGTACCCCGGCGCCAAGCATCCTCAGAACGGCCACCTCATAGCCAGCGTTTCTCAGTCAGTGACCTCCCCCTGCGTAGCAGGGCAGCTGTAACTGGCATACCACCTGCCCACCGTCCTCGGCCCAAGTCCACTCCAGATGCTTGCCTGGAACATTGGCAGGGATTGGAAGCAGAGGACTGGACGGCAGCACTGTTGAACAGGGGCCGGAGTCGGCAGCCCCTGGTGCTAGGGGATAACTGTTTTGCTGATTTAGTTCACAATTGGATGGAGCTGCCTGAGGCAGCCAGTGAGGGGAGTGATGGTGGTGTACCCCGAGCCCGTGCTCGACCCCCTCAGTTCCTGCTAGGCCTCTCTGAACAGCTACGGCGTCGGCTGGCCAGGGCTCGTCGGGCAGCTATGGCAGGAAAGCGGCTGTCATGCCCACCTCGTTCAGAGCCTGACCTGCCTGCGGACATCTCACGATTTGCAGCCCTCATGAACTGTCGCAGCCGCCAACCCATCATCTACAGTGATGTCAGCCACCTCTGATCCTGCCCTCCATCCAGGGACAATAAAGGCCTTTTTCTAGATTGTTGGTTCCATACTCCTGAGGCTTCAGGAAGCATCCCCAGCCCTGTGGAACACAACCAAGGCAGGCCAATCTAGAGTCTTCCCTCTCCTTTCCAGGGTCCCAGCCTTGCCCATGTCACACACATGTGCCTGACCATCCATGTTCTAGCATCCATCGTCTCCACTTTCTTCAAGTTTTTAATTGTTGAAGTATCTGCTGTAGGTTCAAGATGCAGGGATTTTATGTCGAGTTCGTGGTGACCGAGTGGTGGTGTGGGGGCTACCACAGCTCATAATGCAGAGGTGGAAAGGCAGTTTCATCCCCCTCACCCTCACAGCTCAGCTCCAACACCAGTACCCGCAGCCCAGGCTCAGGCTCGCGGCCGGTCACTTGCTGAACCAGTTCTGTCACCCTAGTACGGGAGGGGGTTTAGGGGAGATTTGGTCAGTGAGCTGAGGAAGACAGAGGGCAACCTAGTGTGGACTAGAGGGTGCTGGTGAGCGCTCAGGAGCCCAAACCAGGAGCAGGAGTGGCTCAAGGCAGGAAACATCTGAAACTATTTTAGGAGCAGCTGGTGGGGGCAGGCAGGAGGCAGGAAGTTGTGGGTCCCCTGGGAGTAGGCTTGGGGGGGGCTGGGCAGTGTATGGGGAGCCAGGGGGGCTGGCCAAGCTACTGAAGTCCCCTTCCTCAGGCTCTTAGCCCCACCCCAAGCCCATTTGTTGGCTCCATTTGGTGGAAGAATGCTTCAAGAAGGTGTGAGGGGCCTAGAATGGGGTTGAGAAAAAGAGGCTGTCACCCATCCTCAACATCCTGGGGCATGGTAGGGCCCAGCTGTGTCCAGTGCTGGCTCACCTGAGGCACAGGCACCGAGCTTGCTTTTCAAGTGGCCATTGTGCAGAATAGAGTATGTAAGGGCCATACAGCAGCATCTCCACCTTCAGTGCCTGTTCTTCCTGCAGAGATACACATCAGCTACTTACTGGACCAGACTGGGCTGAGCCTGAGGCAGACAGGAGACCGGACACACCTGGAGATGGGCCAGCAGTGATTCCAGTGTCCTCTCAGGCTGCCCAGCAGGCACCTTCAGGTGGTCCCAACAGGTCCACTTCAGGTGCTGGAACTATGGGGTGAAAGTGAGGAGCAATTAGAGATTTCTCACACAAATCTGCAACCCCTGGCCCAGTTACCAGCAGCTTTTCCTAGAGGAGGAGCTGCTCTAGAGGCAGGAAGCAGGAGCCAAGAGATGGGGGGGGGGTGGAAGGTGGGATCTGGGCCCAGAGTCTCAGCCCCCTCCCCACCCAGGCTGGGGCCAGCACAGGAAATGGAGCTATGGGGCCCTGTTCAGGGAAACAGACATCCATCACACAGGCCAGTTGGAGGCGGGGGGGGGGGGCAGGTGCTTCAGAAAGAGT